AATAATTTGAGAATTCTCTTTATCATAGACTGGTTGCATATATTAAATGAATTAATACAAATAGAGTACTACTAGTGGAGAATAAACAATACATGTTAGTGAATTTGTACTGTGTGTGTAATTGACAAGTTTGTGTACATAAAGGAGTATATTGACTTTAATTATACACATAATTTTACATAAACCATAAACTATATGTATAACATTTGAAAATGTTGTTCTCACTCTTGTGATTTCTTTAAAAATTTTTTTTTTTTAGTAAAGTGGCACCAACCAGATCTTCCCTACTATCACTATTACACTCCCAGCCCTCAGTGCAAGAGTGGAAGAAACACCTTAGCATTTTCCAACAGGGAAATAGCAAGAACATATTAGACTCTGAGGGAGTTACATCACATAAACAGTATACATTAAGCACTCAGGAAGTAGGAGGAGCTAGATAGATCACTTTCTGTTTGCATCCAGAAATATATAAACTGATGCCATTCACTTGGTCAAAAAATAGTCATTTTCTCTGTATTAGATTCATTACTAGGTGGAGGGGGGTCACAAAATCAGATGAAATATGTTTCACCCCTTTGAGACATACTTATAAATCAATAGCTATAGGACAATGTGCTGGTAATAAAAATAAGGATAGAGTATTAAGGGAACCCCACAGAAGAACATGTAATCATGCAAGAAAATGGAAGAGGGTTTCTCTGTGTGGGTAGATCTTGAGACGAGTTTAGAATGAAGATAGGAAATTGCCAGGTAAGGAGGAGGAACTGAGTGGACAATAACAGAAGCAACCGACAACGTGTCACTTCAGGAAGTGCAAATCTGTACCTGTGGGTCAGTGAAGGAGCAGGCAAAGCTAGTTTTGAAAATCATATCCTGAAATACTGGCCTACAAATTGGAGTGAATTGCAAAGTTTGAAGAGACAGGTCGTAGGTGCAGTCAAGAACACATTTACAGTTATTTGAAGTGATTTACAGAGTACCAGACTGGCAGGAGAGAGGCCGGTAGAAAGGCTACAGTGCAAAAACAAACAAACAGAAAAACAATTCATGCACTGAAAGGCCCTGGATGGAGACAACTCTGCCGGTAGAGAGGCAGGAACAGGTTTGGAGAGATTTCCTTGAGAGAAATTCTGCAGATCAGGTGCCTATTGAGTAGCATGTGGAATGGGTCAGAAGGCACGATTCTATGTTTCCTAGTTAGAGTGACTCCATAAAAGTTACGGACATACCAAGGCAGGAAATAGATGAGGAGGGAATATGTTTGACCTGGAATTTGCAAAAAGTTCTAAGAGTTGTTTTTTCTATCAGTCTAATGGCATAAAGATATTAGCTAGAAGTAAAGATGAGCAAAAGCACAAAATCTTACAGGAGAAACAAGAAAAGGAGAGAGAAGGCAGACTCTACAAACACGATGATAAGAGAAGACATAAACAGACCCTGTCTAGAAGGTGACTTAACTAGATATCATTTCCTATAATTTGTTATTATTGAGGGGATATCTCAGGGATATACTGTCCTGGAAAAAGATAGCCACAGAAAATGCCAGATGGATTAATGGAGTAATTTGGGAATTTTATAAATCCTATATTTAAAAATCAACTAAACTCTTGTTTCCCTTGCTTCAGAAGCACTGCACCCAAAACCAACCTTGCAGAGTCACTCTGGTGAGGTCACCACCTGTCAGTTCCCATGGCCGAGCTCACTGATTTGGGGACAGTGTTGTCTTCCACAATCTCATGTGTCCTGGGAGTTGGGAGGGTGCCCTTTAACCCAGCTCCTGTGGTCACCGTTAGCTTCCTCCCCAAGGGAAAAGTAGGAGCAACGTGACCAGACCATGTGCCAAATGCCTGGGTCAGCTGGGGTCCTGGTCACACGTGATCCCTCCTTGGCTAAGTGATTCCAATTCTCAGTGCAATGCCTCTCCACACAATAGTAAATTGAAAACAAAAAGAGAGTTGAGACAGTCTTTTATCTTTTAAAAATCTTCCTTTTAGTGTCCTGGGTTTTTTTTTTTTTTTTTTTTTTTGTAAAGGAATAATTGCTTTTTGAATATTTCAGGACCTGGCAAATTTATAGAAAGAAAAGGCAACAGGAAAGTTATTCTTAGAGAAGAACATGCCGTGGTATCTATTTCCTGCCTCCACAATTCATTTTTCACTAACCCTGAGAAGATGTCCCTTTTGCCCTAGCTCAGGCAGGACATAGAGGTAACCCAGTCACAGCACAGGGCTCTCTCTAGTCCAGCTGACACATGAAGATGCATGAGTGTTTGCCATTTTGTCCTTCCTCACAAAGGAAAAGAGTGTGTGAATATATACTGATTCCTGGGCATATTGAATATATGAAAACTGTTCCTTCAGGTCGCTGCACAGGAGTTAGATTTCCTTCGTTCCTCAGATTGACTGAAAGAGAAACTCTCATTGAAAGCTTTCTTTTCTTTCTCTCTATCTTTCAAGTTCCTGTCTTCCACATTTTCTTTCCTATCTCCCCATCTCTTTGTTTTTGATTCTCCTGATATTTTTACCTCCTCTCTCCATTTCTATGCCTTCTTGGTAATTTTTCCTTGCTTAATTTGGTCCCCTATTCATTTTCTTTTCCTTTTTCATTCTTCTCTAACTAAAGTAAGTGAGCATGTGAACTCTGCAGGCAGATTTCTGAGTTTCACCCTAATTTTACCTCTCTTCGGATATATGATCTTGAGTAAATTTCTTAACTCTGCTACATCAAAATGTCTCCATTCACAAGGGAAAAATACAAGATTATTGACTTCAGTTTTATTGTAAAAGTTAAATAAGACCATATAAAGTATTCAGTAATAGGCTTGGTACTTACAACATATGAGATAATATCGTTAGTTGTATTCCCTTTGGAATATATTATATTATCATTATTTATATTCCCTTTGGAAACCATCTTCTCTCTCTAGGGGTTACTTTTATGTCTACTGAGTATTTTAAAAATAAAGCATTCTCTGATCACAACTCTCCTTTGGCTCTTTCCATGTAAAATCTAAGCATTGTATTCTAAATCTAATTGAATCCTAAACAGACAAATCTCATTTTTTTGTTTCACAGCATATTTCCATATGACATATATATGTTAAAGAAGTAAAACAATACAAATTTAAAAATAGGTAATTTAGTTGGTTTTTTCACAATTTAATAAGCTAAGCAGAATGGGATACGGTGGTATAAACCTACAATTCCAGCACTATGGGAGGCTGAGGCAGAAAGATGGCAAGTCTGAGCCCAATCTAGGCAACTTTGTGACTTAGAGAGACACTGATAAAATAAATTTTAAAAAACTAGAGATATAGCTCATTGTGAAAGCCCTGGGTTGAATGCTGAGTAAACAAACAAACAGACAGAAATAACCTAAGCAGATTCAAATTTTTAATTCACTCATCAAATTAAACAAACATTTTAGGTTTTACACAGCGTTTTTCAGTCTGGCCAGTCACATGAGCCGATTTGTCTGACTGGCTTTGCTATAAAGAATTTTATGCCCTAAATTCATTGTCTTGAACTGATTTGTCCTTGAATGTAGCTCTTTTCTTCTGTTCCTTTCTCGTCTTTCTTTTCTCCACTTTCATCCCTTTGTCATCTCATTTCTAACTGTAAAACTCGAAGCAGTAATAATATGGAGACTCAGAATGCAGCCTGAGCTGTCTTAGGTTGTGGAATACCCAAAACAAGGTCAGTTTTTTTAAAAAAAAAATCCTAACATTTGAAAGAGTCCTCTTAAATCCATCCTCTGGTATCTCCCCCACCAAAACAAATGCCAAGGGCATAGCACACCAGTTAAGAGCACAGTCTCTGCATTACTCATGATAAGCAATGGTCTGCTTCAATAGCACAGTCCTGTAACCAAAGCGCTTACATCAGCAGGGATTTATTTCTTCCACTTCACATTCTGAGGTAGGCCAGGAGGCTTATTTTCTCCTAGAACTGCACCATCTGGAATACATAGCTCCAAAGTGGTCACAGAAGGCCAAGAGAAAGGTGGAAAATGCACTTGGCTTTATCCTTGACCACATATATCTCAGAGTGACACTGCTGTTTGCCCTTCAGCTTGTGAACATTCTATGTGTGCCACATGCCTATGCCATTGCCTCAGGAGACCAAGTCACTTGTGTGTATTTGTTAAAGGAGATGATCTGTGGTTTTCACCAGATCTTTAAAAGGATCAGTTACTCAAAAGTGTTCAAAATCTACTCTCCTTAACACTCTGTAATCATGACTCTTACAATGCAAGAGGGAGCTTTCAGCGAACAGGGAAGGGGGTTCTTATGACATATTAGACCCAGTGCCCATGACTTCAGATATGGACATTCTGTGACTCTTCTCCATGGAACAGAATTAGCTAAAGGGAAAAGAAGACTTTGAGAATTTTAGGAGGGATTTATCTGTTATATATCAATAGCTCCCTTCAACTATCTCAATTTGTCCCTGCTTCCTCTTCTCTTAGTGAGGCAGGCAATTGGAAGTGGAGGAGCAGCTGCTCTGGAAGATGAAGCCTATCCTTTAAAAACCCACACACCTGCAAGCAGACAACTGAGTCTGTTTGGCAAAGTCTCGGATGTTAAGCCTGCCTTAGTTCTTTGAGTAGAAGCAGGCACAGCCATGGCAGGGACTGAAGCATAAACAAAATCCTGTTTCTGTCTTCTTTTCTCAGATTAGTTGGCATGGAGGGCACAAAAGACTTGGTGTGAATCATTTTCTAAAGCTGCTCAATACCCTGCTATTTCTCATAAGATGTCTCTGTGGATCATTAATGTGCTTGCAAGCAGATAGTTTTGTGTGAAGCATTTATTAATGCTCTTGATTAAGATAGGGGTGTTCACTGGAAGCAGTACCTTTGAGGCCTATAAAGCACATGATAGGAGCATGCACATGCACATGGAGGGAGATTCTGTCCACTGACCATGGGCAGGCAAACTCACCATATCAAATGGTGATGAACCCACAGGAAAATACAATTGAAAAACACACTCAAAATGTATTACATAAAATAATTTACTTCTCATTCAGAATGGCCCTCCAGACCTATGTATGAGACAGCAGTCTGTGAGGACAGGTACAATCTGCAAGTCATGATGATTTAATAGGGCAAGACCAAGAAGTCATACATTTGGATCCTGGAGTTGGCTACAGACATAATGTAGAACTGTATATAGAAAAAAGGGACACTGATGAGGAATTCTGGGGACATTAAGAGCAAAACTTCCAGAAAGACAAGAGGGAATAGAAAACCTACATCATCAACACAATGGAATTTGCATACACACACTTCACAGACTTCATTTTACAGCCCAGTATTTGACTTAAAAGCCACAAAGGAGCCATATATGTAAATTATACTGGAACAATGGGTGCAATGTGTGTGTGTGTGTGTGTGTGGTGGAGAGGATGCATGGATGTGTGTGCATATTTGGAAAGGCAATAGTTGTAAAAGAATGAGAAGAAAATTACTTCCTAGGCATTCATTAGTAATTCAGGTAAGATCCTGTACCTTCATTTATAAAACAATACAATAATAAAAAACATTGTAAAAACATCATAAATAACATAAATGAGAAATTTTCAAGTATTTCATGTGCCTTGAAAAGTTTCAGACAGTAGTTCTAACAATTAGTGTCCCTTCTTTTTCTTTTTTCTTTTCTTTTCTTTTCTTTTCTTTTCTTTTTCTTTTCCTCCTCTCTCTCCTTTAACCTCTAGAAAGAAATGGCTTCATTCTCTGCTCAACTCTAATGGTTGGGATAGAATAAACAAGATTTTGTCTTGAAAGAGAAAACTTATAAGGGCTAAAACAATTTTTTTCCTGCTGTAGGCTTATAAATGTAGGCATATAACCTAGAACCATTATTGGGTCAGCCACAGTGAACTAAGGAGGCTCATTGGTTGGCTAAGTTTTTCAGGAAAAAAAGAAAAGCACCTTGATCAAGAGAGGAAAATAAGGAGAGGGGATAAAAATAATAACCTTGAAATTCTATGCCCTCGCTCAGCATGTAACCTATGGTAGGGCTTAGCCAGCAAGGCCTTGCCTACATTTCTTCCTGCATCTCAAGCCTGCCATCTCCTGACTCTAGACCCACCCAGCTACCAATAAGCATGGCCTGAGCACCCAGGCAGAGAAGGGACAGCCAGCAGGTTAGGCTCTCAAAAGTGCCACTAGTGATAACCGGTGCAGGACAGTTCAGGGTCAGTCAGACATATAATTCTTTACAGTATCTGTTCCTTATAATAGTGCTCAGGATGGAGACCATCTGTGGTAAATTAAACACCAAGTCTCTTGGATTCATCTCCAGAAAGATCCATTGATTTTTCTGGAACCAACTTTTCACAAGTTAACCTTCCTCTCTCAGCATACATGGCAATTAGTTCACTTTCCCCTGTTCAAATGCAGTTCAAAGATCAGAACCTGCATCTAAGTACATACACACACTCTAATTTAAGCACCTGGGGTCTTTCCCATCTAATCTTGCAGAGCACACACACATTTGAATACATAAACACATATGAATATGTACAGAATGTACATGTATATATTATACATATATTTAATATATACACATGCACACATTTGTGTATAATACATCAACCTCACCTAAGCACAGAACACATGTGCATGTGGATGTCACAGAAGTGTACCAACCAGCCAACCTGAGGTCAAGTGGCTGGAAGGGGTGCACTGCCAACAGCCTTTGAAAACCCAGACTTACAAGCGAGATCCTTATCTGGACACTTGCTCCCATGCCAGCCTCAAGCTACTTGGAGAAATTGGACTGGAATGGGGTCCCACCCTGCTGAGTACCCAAACCCCACAACTAAATCTAGCTTTTACACAGAAGTGGCTCCCACACGGCAGGCAGCATGAACACTAGGCTACAATGTGGATAAAGCACTGTGCTTAATACAGATCAGTATTTGGCCTCAGGTTTTCCAGAGCATAGTCTTGGCATTGTGGCCCTCTGCCTCCAAGTGAGACTTAAGCACACTGGGGAAGCAGAGATGTACAGTTTGCGGAGCTCTTTGCTCCTTTCTGCTTCTCTGCCCCGCAGCTGGAAGGATTGGCCAGATCAAGGTAAAATGGAGACTTGAGGAAGCGGCGGTACGAATCCTTTTCCATAAGATGGAAAATCTTCTTCTGGGCCTCATCAAAGCAGGTAATTGTAGGCTCCAGCATATTCCGGCTCGTCTCTTCCCTGGTGCAAGAATCTAGGTTCACCTGAGGGGCAAAGACCAAGGTTTTGTTAGATCTGTAACCCAGCTGAGGGTGGGATTCTGCAGGCTTTGTGCTGGCAAATTAGGCACTGTGCACCTTCCACATCCAAGAATGCAGTGAAGGATGTTCAGTTCCATTATGGCATACTGGAGGAAGTACAAAAGGTTCATTTTGTTCCAAGGTTGGAAGAAAAATATCTTTTTCTTCTCCAATAGTTAGGAGATTTTTCAGAAAAACTCACTAAGAGAGGTCACCTTGATCACATAGATAAAAAGGAACTTATTTCTTAGTGTATTGTTTGGGAGTCATCAAGATTATAATAGCCTACTCCACTGTTCAGTTCACTTCATAGGATCTAAAGTTCCATGCCACTGAATCTTTAGTAATCTTTAATAAGACCTTGAGATTTCCCTGCCTTGAAAACTTACCTCTTTAGTTGCTTGGACTGAGATGAATTCATTATAGATCTTTTTGGCTTTGGGACTTAGTTTAGAGGGTGACTTGATTTTCTTGTATTCTTCACAACTGATCCAGAAGTCAATATTCTCCTCACTGTATTCAGACCTTAAGAAAGCTTTGAAAGCTGCCAGCCCGCCTGTGACACAAGAGGAAGAACCAGAGTTGTCATTAGATTGGTGGGCTTGCTGGATGCTGTTCTTCAAATAGGTACTTAGGGTGCTAAGCATGGGTGCAAGAAATCCCTCTTTTTTTCTGTTTCTGAGCTTCCCTTGGGGTCTGGTAAACCTAATTTGTGTCCCATATCTGGGAGATGAAAATTATACCTAATGATTCTTACTCAGGGTTCTGAAACATTATGTTCCTAAAATACCTATGCCGCTGTCAACTGACAAAATAGGTTTAATAAAGAGAAACTGAGGTTGATTCTGAAGAAAGATATGAATATTTAGAATGTTTTTTCTCTCCCATCTTGCTATGAGATGAGAGTGAAGGTTTTTCACACAGTTTCTGTATGAATTTCCTATTGTAGATCACAAAACTCTAGGACATGGTAAAATGTTAAACGTACTGGATATAAGATCAACATTTATCTTGGGTCTGGAAGTCAGAAGGGGCCCAGGCTCTGTGTTTCCTAGCAGACCAGCATAATATGAGATCATTCGTGTTATTTTCAGAATAGGGGGTTGTGGGGTGTGGGACTTACATTCATGGCTAATCAGGTTTTCCAATGATTCACCCCATTTCTTGATTTCCTCTTGGCTTACTCTGGAGACATGAAAGAGAAAAATAAGAATTTTAGTGTCATGGTATGGAATAAGGACAAGAAAACTAGGATCTTGAATAAAAGGTAGAAATTATATCTTCCATCATTCTGATAAGATCTATTGTTTAGGACACTTTTATTTTTAAATGTAAGGAAATTTTCATTCTATTATGAGCTCCTTGAAAATCGCGGTCAGTTTGATCCATATCTGGTTTAATTAGTGGCATAACTTTCCACTCTTTTCATAGAGCATATCTATCATCAGATAGCACAATAAAACCTTACCAAGGCCTTATCTCTTACCTATGGCAAATAACCACTTTGTCCTTCTTGCTATGGGAAGAATTATGTTCACAGGAATCAGATTTCTGCAGCAGGAAGCCTAGCCGATGTTTCATATCTTTTGCACTGAAGAGAGAGAGAGAGATAAAAGGAGATAATTAATAGTGATAACCAGTTTTTTCCAAAAGATACCTTTATGGTAGAGCTTGAAGAATTCATTGCCAGTGCACAGTTTATGCAGGCAATGGGAGTTGAAGTGGGCGTGAACTCTCGGGGGAAAGAAAGATTCTTTTTCTGCTTCTGTCTGTGACTTATTACAAAACCACGAACCAGAGTTAAAATTCTGGTTCCTTTATCTGTAACTGGAATTCCAAACTTCTGGTCTACCTCAGAAATCTCTTCTGTATACCCACTGTTTTATCCGATAGAACCTTTGGTATCACCAGTGGAACCACTTTGAATACATGACTATTCTTTGAGTCATTTTTCAGAATTTAAAGCAAGCCCAAAATGCAAAATATGGCACCTGCCCGCCTCACGCCACCTTCTGGCATATGACTGCTATTGCCATCTGTTTCCCTGTCTGCACAGAGGGAGCAGTTTCCGGCTCAGGAAAATAAAGATCTGTTAGGCTGCAGCCCGGTATCTGAGGGTCAAGCAACCACATCATGCGGTGTACGTGGAGTGCATCCTGAAGTGTGAAGCCCCTGCCGAGGGGAAAAGGCAAGCAGGTGGCAGACACCAGTACTCAGGCAGAAATCGGAGGTCCTTTACGCTTGTTTGTAGACAATCTCCAGGTCTGCCTTCTTTTAGAAATTTACACTACAAGGAGATGTGTACACTAGCAAAGACCTTTGGAGCGCTGGAACAAGAATCACTCACTGAAGTGAGTGACTGTTTTAATTAGAGCTTCCAATTATTGTTACAGTTTACTAGGTAGCTAGGGTACACCGGGGCTCCTGACTGACTTTAAAAAGAGGAACTTCTAATAACCTTTCAGCTCATCTCTCTCACCTTGCAGTTTTTTTTTTTGGGGGGGGGGTATCTGTTTTATTATAAAATATAAGAGATGGTTTAAAAAAGAGAAGTGGCATTTTTAAAAGAAACAACTAGAAAGTCCTGTATAGTGGGGGGTAGGGAATAAGAGACATAAGGGTAATGGTTAGCCACACTACTGGCTTATCTATATGGATTTTCTCAGAATATTTGAATTCTGTTGTATTCTTAGCCTGCCCTTTAAATAGTATTTTCTCTCCATGACACTGTTTCATTTTTCCTCTGCTCCCCAGCTAGTGGCTGATCAGAGGACCCCAAATCACCCCAGCGATCACTAGCTATCATGAAGGCTGCAGTGATTCCAAGGTGATGACGTGAGTGCATCGTGATTCAGTCCAGATAGAAATAATCGTATCTCCATGTGCTGTCTCTACCTGAGATCAAACAGCTACTGGCCAAATCAGGGTCATTTTATGAACTGGAAGTAAGTTTAGCAATACTCTTATAAGAGAACCATGAAAATAAAAATCCAAGTGACTTCAGGAGTTATGAGAGACAAGAAATCTAGATTTGGCCCTCATTTTGTACCCACGATCCATGTGACCTTGAGCAGTTAAGGTCCCTCCAGCGCTTCCACCCTGATGATGAAGAGATGGACCAGTAATTTGCAGGCTAAGGTGTAGGGAGACAAGGAAGAGCAACTCACCGCTGACAAATTCATTCTTCTAGGGCAGTATGCTAGTGCAATCTCTTAGCTGTCTCCCAAAGTATCTACAGAGCAAAACTTTCTCCTGGCACTGCTATATTTTGCATGGTTAATTTATATGCAATTTAACCAAAGTTGGAGTCATTTGCTCTAGCAGTTCAGGAAATTCATAGTGAGGGTGAGAGGTTCTTATTTCCTACTCCTCTGCCAGACTGTCCTGATTCCTTTGAAAGAAGCTGTTAACACTTTCAGCCTCCTGAGTGGCAGAATATAGGCAAGGTAAACTTCTCAGCAACATTCAAGAGACTATGCTTCTGTGATTATTTTCAGATTGAAATGTAAAGTGATTTCTACTTGTAGGTTAACTGTAAGATGAAGTAATGTAATATATGCTTATTTTGTATTTCCTTTCCAATTTGCCAATATATAAGAATTCTCTGAAATCTTTCTCATTCATACTTTTTCTTAAAATCAAAGATAGATAAGTAGCTATAAATCTTTAAGACTCTCTTTCAAATCAGGAATATATTGATAAAACAACATCTTTAAGATGAGCTCACCTATAAAACTATTAACTGATTTGTTATGATTAACACTTTTCACCTGCCATTCGTATAGACACTCTAAAAATTAGAGGTAGGGCAGAGAACAGGGATGTCTGGCTTTAAAACTCGTGTTTCACTGTCACATTTGCTAAGAAGAACGCAGAATGATGGGCACTGCAGCACTGCACGGGAAGCATAACGCTTTTCCAATAATGTGGCCAAACCTCCATCTGGGATATCTTCCTTTTGATAATATCTAACACGCATTAGCAGAGAGCACAGAGCTGTGATTCTACATGCCCAAGTGATGCACAAATCACAACATTAATCCCAGACAAGGATGGAACCGCATCATAGCTCCAAACCTCAAGTTAGTTCTTAATTCAAACTGCCTGATTTCAAGCACCTGTCTTTAAGGTCAAACATAGGTGTCAAAACTGGAATCATGTAAAACACACAGGAATCAAAATTTGGGGAGCATACTTCCTAACCACAATACCTAGCTCTTCCTAGAGAAAGATAAGACACTGTTGCTTTCTTGATCATATTGTTTTGAATCCCAAAGAATCAGCTTAGTAAGTACAGCATGCAAGTAACTGAGAAAGTCTCTCCAAAACTTTAACATGGTTAATGGCTAAAAAGTCTCACCTCTTTAGGCAGGAAGCCGGCAGACCTGCAAGTCCTTTGCACATCTTGTTGAATGGTGTGGTATTCACAGTTAGGAGAGAAATGCAGCAGAAGGAGCTGTGGCTTCTATTTTGAGCGCACGTTGCCTCTCTTCCGCAAAGATGCTGTCAGAATCCTCTGAGCGTCTCCCTCCCGAGCCTGCAGAGGTCTCTTTTATAGCCCAGCCACGTTCGTCTAGCCAATCAGACAGCAGCTCTGCAGGCTCTGCTCCTCTGTCTCTCTCTGCCTTTCCAGCCCATGGAAGAGATGAGGAAGAAAAGACTGACGCATCTACGATGCAAAGCGGCCAAGCAGAGAAAATCCTCTTGCAAAGTAGGCAGACAGAAAATAATTTTTTTCTTGGCGTTTCTACCAGTGTGTGGGGTTCTGAATTTCTTATGGGGGGACCTAAAGTGCTGCACAATGTGAGGTTTGTTCATTTGTCTATTAAAAAAATTTAGGAAAGTTGCATCTTGAAAGGCAAGATTCCAGTAGGTAATCTGGGGCTCCCTTTGAAGCTAATTCCCAACACATTAGAAATATTATCTTATACATGGTCTGGAGCCTGATGTTCACTATTTCCAAATAGGAGTTGGTAGGGTCACAGTTTCCAGGCAGTGATTTACAGGAGTTGATTTCCTGGTTATTAAGCTCACGGGGCCATGGGGACAAATTCCTGCGTGGAAGATTGCTAAATGCCCTGCAGCATAGGCAAACTACCCTAGGGAAAATAGATTCCCTACCTCAGTAGTCAACTTGACTGTGAAATACATTTCGAGGAATCTTGCTAAGGACAAGATTCAGCCCGGCACTGACAGTCTTTCCCGTATGTGCCTGCCTTCTGCAAGAAGCCTCAGACAGCAGCTTGAAGACAAGAGAAGAGAGGAGAATAACAAATCTAGCCATTAACTGTAATTAGTAAATGGGCTTATGCTCTGTGTAACTCTAAGTCTCCAAACAGGTATTTCAAAAGAGAAAGAAAAACAGAGAAAATGATGGGAGACAGAGTAAGAGAGAAAAAAGAGAGAGAGAGAGAGAGAGAGAGAGAGAGAGAGAGAGAGAGAGAGAAAGAGAGGCACAGAGAGAGAGTTATACAATTTGCCTTTCATATCCCTGGTCTTCATAAAAAACATTCAAGCCTGCAGGTGCTTCTGAACATCTGGACATTTTGCACACAATATTGTGAACTAATGCATTAAAGTTTCATGCAAATGTTCTGCATTTTATAGCTGTAGCTCAAACACCCATATCAGAGTTACCAAGGAAGCTTCTTTAACTGGAAAGCTGTGACTGGGAAGAGAAAATTAATTACTATGTCTGACCATAATAGCTTTTATTTTAATAGCAGATAGGTTCCTGATCATAGGCTACAGTGAGCCATATTTTACATGTAAGAAATAGAAATATTAATGATTTAGACAGAGAAGTTGAAAAACACATGGATTCCGGTGAGAGCCATAGGTGCCAAGATTCTAGAAGGAAAATGGTGAAGAGAATATCTCTGTGTCTCTCCTCACATCCATGTCCCCAAATGTCCCACACTGCCTCCTGCTGTTCAAGAGAGCTCCCCATCCTCTTCTAAAGAAAAGAGGGTAGGCAGATATAAAAAAAGATGGGAGGACTATAATCCTCAGATCATGGATTTAAATCATAGGAGAAAGTCCCTAGCCTTTGCCCTGAAGACAGAAAAACATGTATTAGTTTGGCTACTGAGCGACTTTTCCTTGAGTTATATAACATGGAACAAGTATAAGTTGGTAGCCATCCGTGGCAAGGATGTGGAAGAGACTGTAGCACAATGTGAAATTTAAGAGGCCATCAGAGCAGGGAAGGTGGACCCTGAGGGGAGACAAAGCAGGCATAGCTGGCATCAAAACAGAGAGACCAATTAACAAGGAGAGAAGGCTACCCAAAGATGGGCCAGAGCATTCTTTGCTTACATAGGCACCTAAAAAAGTCATCACTCAAATCACTGGAAGTTTGGAATCTGAGTAAAGACCCAAAGGATTTACAAGAACTTTATGTCTTGGACCTAGGATAAGAGAATCCTGATTTATCTCGAGTTAAATATGTCACTACAATACATGAGCTGAATGGACTTTACAAAACCATCTGGTCTGATGCCTTCACTTTACCAAGAAGGAAGTGGAGACCCAGAGAAGGAAAGTGATTTGCCAAGGCCACAGCTTCTCTTGGATGAGGCTGGATCCAGACCCAGGCTTCTTAATATTGATTTATGCAGATTTTCCATTATGCTCTCCTGTCACTCAACAGTCTTATCAAATGAGATAAATGGTGCAAATAGAGATAGCTCTAAACTGCAAAGTGCTGGGCAAACACTTTTTATTGTTAGGTTCCACACAGTTGATAACAAAACCCAGTGTTAATTTTCTACATTTTCTTCAAGGCGCTCTCAAGCTGCCCAGCTTCTCTGGTCTGGGAGGGTGGAAACTGCTGTAGAGCTCACTGCTCTGGTTCTCAGTTAAACCAGGTCGTTTTAGTCCCACTCTGTTCATGTGTCTTATACTCATTGGCTTTTTGGACTATAATTTCTTGCTTGCAAGATTTTAAAACTTTTAAAGAGTGTTTGAAAAAGTGTCTCAGAAATTAACTTATTCCTCATGGCAAGATTCACTGAGTGTGTTGAGGAGGCGAGGACTGCTACATCATGATACCTTGACAGCATCCCACCTTCTTTCTCTGATATGCACAAAGCATCAATTCTGTTATGCTGCAGTTTGTCATTCCTCAGTGATGCTGATAGCATGGAAGAGCTTAGTTTTCAAAAGATCTGTTTGTATCTATTCATTTGTTTAAGGCATATCTTTTGAGCACCTGCTGTGTGGTAGGTACTCTTTGAAGAGTGCATTCAGTGTGGTGAAGCAGACAAGGTCTCTACCTTAGTGAAACTCCCAGGGGATAGAATCAGAAAATACTGTAAATAAGATAATTCCAGATGTTCACCTGTACCATGAAGAAAACAGGTAGATGGTGTGATAAAAAGTAACGGAATGGTGAAGGGTTCACCCTTAGCCAAGGTGGTCAGAAAAGTCCTCTTTGAAAAGATGGTATCTGAGAGCTGATAGATGAGAAAATCAAACAAAGCAAGAAACATAGAATGTAATAGTCCAAATAAAAGTACGCTGAAATGAAAGTAACCTCTAGTTAAGTTGAAAAAGAATCAGCTGTTGGAATGGAGATGGAAAGGCAGAGGCACACCTGGCAAGGACTTGTCACAGAGCTGGACAAAGAGGCTGGATCTTATCACAGAGCAACAGAAATCCACAGAATCACTAAACACAGTGGAGAGGCATGACCTACGATCATGCTGGCTATTGTGGGTGAAAGGATTGAGGTGGATGGGCAGGAATATCAAAGTGAGACCAGTTGTAGAGTTAGTTTGAATCTTAATTCATCCATTCGTGCACTGCAGCATGGAGAATTATCTCACAAAGTAGGATTTATTAGACACAGAAGAAGACATTCTGCTAGTCCCTGGTAATCTAAGTGGTTTGTGTTTTTCAGGAGCATACCCACTAATGGGGGAGAAGGTTGAATAACTGGAAAACACTTGTCTGAGTACCATTATTGTAAACTCATTAGAGGATGAGGAATATATTTAACCTTTGGAATTGAGAGATTGTTAAAAGTTGAATACAAATGTAGTCATTGAACAAAGAAGTCAAGAGATTACAATACAGGGTACCATAATTACTGCTATTTTTATAGTGCATTAGTTGTACAAGGCATGGCTTTAAGCACCTTATATCAATTAATCCAGTTACTGTCCACAGTCAATCCTGAGAGAATGATTCACATTTTGTTGATGAGACATAGAAGGTTTAAGCAATTTACATGAGGTTACGCATCTAATTGTTGGTGACCCTTTGCCAGTTCAGGAAGTCTAATTACAAGGGTTCCCCTATTCATCTTTGTTATCATGGCCACTAAGGATGAAAGAAAATGGGCTGTTTGGACAATAAGTGTTTAGCATGATCACAGTTTTGAGGGAGAAAGAGAGAGAGAGAAAACAAGGCTGCACAGATACCCCAAAAACCAAAGAATATTTCCTGTTACACTAAAGACCAGAATTTATTCTGCTGCTGGTGGAGCTAGTGGGCTAGCCACAGTATTTAAGCTGATCAGATTACTGTTCTATAAAGAGAATTTGGGAAAGACAGGAAGAGAATAGACTGAGTGTGAGAGAAACTGACAAGAAGTTTTAAGACTATTACAATAGGTCACATGAAGCTTGATGATAAAAACAGTGTCAACCAAGGTTATTGTGAGAATCAAATGAAGTAACACATAAAAAAGCTCCTTTTCCCTCTGCTTGGGGAAAACACTGTTCAAGGACTTTATTAACACAAGGAAATGAGAAATTGTAGTAAGCACTGGTTCTTTTGCTTTAAAGGGGCACCACTTCTTCGCTTGGGCAGGTTGTGAGCCAACACTCAGTCTTAAGCAGTATTCACACCATCTCAGATTACAGTTTCCTCTCAGCTGTTTGAGGTCTTTCTCCCTCTTTACCGTGAACTATAATGTCTTAGATGTTAGTAAAAGATCACAGTTACCAATTTTTAAAGTTAAAAAGTGAAGGCTGGATGGTGCTGTCTACCAGGAATAAAAATAAGGACTTTTCCAGTATGTTTTGATTTTTGGGAAATGTGTCTTCGTCTGCATCAAGCTTTGCAGGCACCTATGGTAAACCAAAGCATCAAGCCCTGACACTTGGTAATAGTAGGTGATGTACCACTTGATTGCACTGGAAGGACAGTAACACAATTAACTTGGTGAGGGAGATCTTTCCCAAGAAGTAGGGGAAGAATCAAATTATCCCTATCCCAAAGATTAAATCTCCCTTCTGCAGAGCTTAGCCCAAGATAGAAACAGCAGTTTCATAAGAAGAGTTCATTCGCATTGCGTGGTTGGAAAGAGACAGGATAGCGTGATGGAAAGTGCTTGAACTATAGTGGAGGCAGACCTGGATTCTAATTCTAGCTCCTCCACAGAGGCTGGGGGACCTGGGCATGCTACAGTAACCTTTCTGTTTCCAGCCTTCTTATGTTCCTGGACTCCCACTTGTCCTTGGATTAAAATTTTAACTCAGTGTAATATTCCAGTACTTTCATCATTTGATCCT